ACACACACACACACACACACACACACACACACACAGGTGTTGCTGCAGTCATTCGTTTTATTTGTATATCATCAAATCTTAATACACATGAACTCAAGGCTCTTTACTTCTTATGATGATGATCAGGCCACCAGGGGGCGATGTGACCAGCTCTGTTTGTGTTGCAGTGTGAAGGATGTCACCAACAAAGAGGTTCTGGGGATCCTGGTGTCGTACAGAGTCAAAGTGAAGCTGGTGGTCTCACGTGGAGGGTAACAGACACACACATACACAGACACACACAGACACACATACATACACAGACAGACACACATACATACACAGACACACACACACGCATACAGACACACACAAACATACACAGACACACATACATACACACAGACACACACACACACACTGGGGGTGTAACGGTACACCTTGTCCCACTGTTTGTGTTATTTCCTAAGTTGCAGTCATTCTGGTGACACTGTTTAAAGGAGTCGGCATCGTTACAGTGAAACTGAAGTGGTCCCACACAAACAATGATGACAAGGGGGGGGCGTCTTCACACTCCTGTTTGTTTGCGGTCGCAATGACCACATCCAGTCCTTCGCTTAAGGTGTCCTTCGGAATTTGAGACGCACACAAATAAGACCCACTCGTAAACACGTGCGTATCAAACTGAAGGGCCCATACCGGAAATGTTTGGTTAGGAAACATGTACAGTTACACCTCTAATACACACACACACACAGACACACGTACACAGACACACGTACACACACAGACACACATACACACACACTCCTCCCATTCTCCTGACATCACTTCCTGTCCTCAGCCTCAAGTTTCAGCTCGACCATCAACATTAAAACCACAGACTGTAAATAAAGATGACAGGACATGAAAGCTCTATCGCCCCCTGGTGTCTGGCTGCAGTTTAGCTCATAAACCCTCCTCCTCCATGTTAGCAGATGGGACATGAACCAAACTAAAAAATCAAAGTAGACGTTAAATAACAGTTTGTCAAAGATGTTTCTGTCGGTTCAGCTCGTTCTTCTCTCTGATGTTTGTTCAAGTTTCTGATCAGTTTGGTTTGAATTAATTTGATGATATAAAAACAGGCGGAGACGTCCTGATTGACAGCTGGCACTGACTCAGGATTAATCAAGAATGTGTGGGCGGGGCCTCGATAGCACGCCTCCACTCCACGATCACTACAGCACAGACTCTCTGACTGTAAATGACGTCATCACCACAAGATGGCAGTGTTGGTATTGGAGTGGAGATATTTTAGCTTCACTTCTGGAGAAAGTGTCTTCTTCTGTTTCTTTGTTCTGTTAATTGGTGGGTGGCAACAAACGTCAAGGTGATTTACCGCCACCTACTGTGTCTTCTTCTCTGCTCTGTTTATTTATAGTCTGTGATCTTTTTTTACAGTCTTTGATCTGGTTCGTACATGATGATGAACTAATTATCTTCAGCTTCTTGAATGTGATTGGATGAAAACAATAAATTGATTAATTGAGAAAATAATTGGCAGCTGTTGTATGAGCACAGGAAGTAGAAAAATGATCCAGTTGTAGTTTGTAATCTGATCCTGATGTCAGATAAGCTCAGCCTCACACTTCCCGCCCCCTCCTCTGACTTCCTGCTTCTCCCTGAGGACTTCCCACCCTTTCCACCTGACCTTCTGCTTCCTCCTGAGGACTTCCTGTGCTCTCCACCTGACTTCCTGCTCCCTCCTCTTACTTCCTGTTCTCTCCATCTGACTTCCTGCTTTCTCCTGAGGACTTCCTGCCCTCTCCACTTGATTTCCTGCTCCCTCCACTTGACTTCCCACTCCCTCCTCTGACTTCCTGCATCCTGCTCTTACTTCCTGTTCTCTCCACCTGACCCCCTGCTCCCTCCACTTGACTTCCTGCTGTAGTTGCTCTTTACTGTTGTTGCTACCACTGTAGTTTGTTGTGATTGTGTTGCCTCCCGCTTTTCATTTCATCTCCCCTCTGTGTTTTTGGCTTTCTGTGTCCGCCCCCTCCCTCTGTCGCCCCCTTCAGGCTGCTGCGAGGCATGTTGGAGAGGTAAATGTGAGCAACGGCCTCAGTTTTCATTTGACGAACACAGCACACGTGAAAACACAGCTTCAAGGTTTAACAAGAGAGAAATCTTGAGTTAAACCAGATTAAAATGGATCGAAACTGGTTTGGTTTGGAACTGATTGAGACATGAGTTTTTTAAAACTAAATATTAACTTTATTAAAGTGGATACAAACTTGTTTAAATTGATTTGAACCTTTTTTAAAACAAAATAAATGACCTCTAAATCAGTTTTTAATCAGTTTCAACAAGAAATCAGTTGGATCAATTTATAAAACTTGAAAATTTGTGTTAAAACAAGAAACAAACTGATTTTAAATCTTGTTTAAACAACAAATAAATCAGTTCTGAAGTTTAAACCGGAAATAAAACGATTTAAATTCGTTTTAAACAAGAGAAGCTTAGAGACACAGACACAGATTTTTATCTGCAATGTCCTGTTCATTTATTTCATCATATTTCGTGTGTGTCTCTCTCTCTCTCTGTTTGTGTCTCTCTCTCTCT